ATGCCTGTTACTGCTCCATTGTTAACCAGGGCACACCGTGTAGCTCGTTTAAGATTCGCAAGAGAACATGTTAATTGGGATATTAACGACTGGGCTGATGTTCTTTTTACGGATGAGTCGAGATATGCACTTTTCGGATCTGATAGACGTATTCCAGTTTATAGACGCGCAGGTGAGCGATTTTCTCAGTGTAACATAAGAGCAGCCAGAAATTTTGGAGGTGGCTCGATTATGATATGGGGAGGCATCTGCTTTGAAGGTCACACAGAGTTAACAGTGTTTCGTAGGGGATCTCTAACAGCTGATCGGTATATACGGGAAGTTCTTCAAGAAAATGTAGTGCCGTTTGTTCCAATTATTGGGAACAATTTTGTTCTTATGCAAGACAACGCTCGTCCGCACGTTGCCAGAATCACAATGCAATACATTGAAGATGTTGGTATTCAAGTTTTAGATTGGCCAGCAGTTAGTCCAGATCTAAACCCAATTGAACATGTTTGGGATTTCCTAGAAAGGCGCATAAGAGCTCGTAATATTGCACCAGACAACCTTGATGAGCTAGAAAATGCTTTGAGAGAAGAATGGGAAAATTTAGATTTGGAGTATGTAAGGGCTCTGATAAGAAGCCTTCCACGGAGAATGAGAGATGTTATTAGAGCCAGAGGTGGCAATACCAGATACTAAATTGCTAAAACTTTCCTTGGAATTTCTTATTTTGTTAATTTGGATTCTTTAATTTTTCTTGAATACTTGTTATTTTCGAAATTTTTCCCTGTTATTCTTAGATTATTAATTTTAATTAAATAAAACACTGTCAAACATTCTTGAGTTTCATTACCTGCCATTTACAAAAAAAAATTAGGAGATAATAATAAAACTTCTAGTCACAATCTATTTATGCGATACTTTTTGTGACGAGTGTATAATGAAATTTGAAAATATTGAAGAATAAATACGTGTTCCATTTGTAGTTTATGTAGACTTTGAATCAATTTTAAAACCGATGGTACTAGTGAACCAAAAAACCTTCATAACTCTTCAACAATAGAAAGCGTCAGACATGAACCTTACTTTTTTGCATATCTTATAAAATCCTCCTTTGACGATTAGTTTCTAAATTTGAGTTACATCGCGCAAGTAATGCAGCCCAATTGTGTCTCGCGTGGAAAACGATTTGAGACATCTTTATAATACCTATTGTGAAGATATTGAAGAAAAGATTTGGTGCTGCTCATTCCATTTGTAATTTGAACAATAAGTTACCTAATTTTGTTCTACTTATATTTCGCAATTTAAGTAGGTATGACTGCCATTTGCTTAATAAATAATTGTTTCGTCATGGTGATGAAATTAATGTTATAGCTCAGAGCAAGGAAAAAGTAAATATCGTTTATAATAGTATATTATATACCTAGGTAGAGAAGTTGGTCCTTATATACCGAGCGCTTTTATAAACCGAGGCGCTCGCGCCGAGGTTTATAATGAGTGAGGTATATAATGACTTTCTCTACCGAGGAATATATAGAATTTTTTTTACTACTGCTAGTAGAAAATGAAAAATTTGTTTAAAATCTGTGCTCCAATTATTTTTTTTGAACGCCCTCTTGAAAGTGCTGCCCTCTATCAACCGCTTATGATAACTTCCTATGTACCTACAGAAACCTGTATTTTTTTTCAAATTGACGTATGGAAATGAAATTGAACCAATAGAAACATGACAATATCCTTGCGTCATGACGTCATTTTCATTATTAACCTAGGTATTTTTTCATTATTTTCATTATTCACCTAGGGAGAGAAATTCAATTTTTTCCTAGAAAAATAGATTGAATAATGACAATTTCTCAGGTTAGTAGTAAAAAAAGAGTATTTATTGTCTGGCTAGCGAAACGGCGAACTCCAATAGAATTTGCTGCTTTGCCAAACTTGACGGAAACAATAATAAACAAGTTAGTGACATTTTTTTTTTTGCAAGTTACCACTTGCCAGACTATATGTACAGGGTGTTTTTTTATATATTGAAACCCCACCTACAGCCTTTACCTTCACAGGTAGAAGAAAGGTGTAAATACAAAAGTTGTACAGTTTTGGCTAAATTTTTAGAATCCATAGTCAAAAACAAAAATTGAATGTCAAGAATGTGAAATGTTGCATGCTAACATGCTAGGATTAATCGACAACTTTAAATCTTCATCGACATCTTTGGAAAATTTTGGTAATGGAAAACACGCATATGTTTTCCTGATAATGAGGAATTCAATTTAGTTCGTTGATCAAAAGCGTGTTTTTCTTGGTTGAATATTCAAATGTATATCTCAAGTCGAATGTGATGTTTTCGAAAAATTTTGCAATACATTATATCTGGATGTTCATAAGCTGGATCTAGCGGAATACACTGCCAAGCTTATCATTTGATTGATGATGCTCATACTGACCTTCCTTTTTTCGTGGAAAGTATTGTTTCACCCAGAGAATCGGCAAAAATGAAAAAATTAATTCCAATCCTAAATGAAAAACAGAAGTAAAGTGTACATTGTAGAACTTTAAAACAAGCTTTTTCGAACGGTAAACTGATAGAATTTGAAATTTGGGCAGTCAAAGTGATTAAAGAAATATATTGATTTCAAAACAAACTGGGATTTATTCAAATTAATCATAATTGCGTTTTTTGGCAAGATAATGGAAAATTTGAAAAACCGTATATGTACTTAGATATAATAGTTATTTACATTACAAGTGCGTTTATGAACAACGAGTGTGAAAGGTTAGAATGACGAGATCGTAGACCAAGTCGTTCTAATCATACCAGTTTTGTAGTCATGTTCAGACGCACGTGTGATGTGCAACGTTTTATCTACAAGCGAAAAATAAGGATGTTCTAATAATGAAAATATAGTGTCCTCCAAAGTAATAATTATGGTAGAGAAAAGTTGTGGGTTAAGGACGAAGTGGAATAAAACTTTTTTATTTACAAATTCGCCAACATTTTGACCTTTTATTTGGGTCTTTATCAAGGCTTTTTATATAAAAGAAGTTTCCAAATCAAAAGGCTCATAATACAACTCCATGATACACTAGATAAACGCGACAATACTTTTTCATTATCCACATTTGAAATTTAAAAAAATCAAAAATTAAAAACACGCTAATTAGAATTAAAACAGCCAATATATGTGTATACCAAACCAAACATAGACTGATTAGCTAGTCAGAACAGAACACTATTTTATTTTTAAATACTCGTGAAAGATCCTATCTATTAAGAGCTTTTCCAATAACTATGTCCAAAATTTCTTCGAAATATGCGTGTGCAGCAACGAATACCGTCGGCTCGCCCACATGAACATTTGCAGTAGGACTAAAGCTAGAGTTCGAAAGGTTTTTTGAATTTTGCAACTTATTTCAAAATATCTTCAATCATCTTTGATATCTTTTCGTCCCGATGAAACCATTTTCAAGAGGTAATATGTACTAGCTTGGTCTAGTCTTCTGGCAAGCATATATCTGCAGCACCACTGCAATTTTCAGAAATAGATGGAGTAGTGAATAGGATTTTGTGTGTCGTGTTTTTTATGAGTTTTACCACTACTACACAGAACACCTTGGCCTTAAGATATCATATTTAGTGCATACACCGAAGGCGATACTTTCCTCAATTATTCGTCTGTGAACACAACAAACCGTATTTTATGATTGAATGCTACGTCTCTCTGGGATGATAGGTAATTGCAGCTTGGATTTCATTAGAATTACGAGCAACATTCTGTCACGATATGATTCCCAGGCTTTTCTATCAGTATTGGAAGATACATTTTCACAATATTATTTCTCAAGCATACTTACGGATAAATCAACCACAGGCTTAAGAATCAGGTTGTTGAAACAGAGTTGAGTTTCTATCGGTTAGTAAAAGTTACATTTAAGGTATGGAATGAGTTAAAATTACATTTTCACAGCGTAAGCTGTGACTTTCCAGGTTTCAGGCAAATAACTATTTCCGCACTTTTTCAATTTCTGCCCCCCACCCATGATTTCTCAATGGCTCGTGCTCGTAGAATACAATACAATAAAATTCCTATTGAACAATAAAAAAATATTAATAAAGGGTGTTTTTTTTAGAGGTATAGAACTTTGAACTGGAATAAAACTCATAAAAATCATGTAAACGGCCATAATATTGACTTTAATAGAAAGTTAATTTTATGCCATTAGTGCCTAAAAATGATTTGGGGCATATGAGCGCTGCGACTGGCTCGGACGAAGCTCAGTCTGGGAGTCCACTTTTGGGCCACTTTTTCGAATATCTGGGAACGTTAATCGGCAATAACACGGCAAATGTTGGCTTCCAGCCGATTCAACGTTGTTGGTTTATCACCGTACACTAGCGACTTCACATATCTCCACAGAATTGAATCCATAGGTGTGAGATCACACCACCGTAGAGGCCAATTCACAAGTTCATTGCGCGAAATTATACGGTCATCGAATGTTTCCTGAAATAAGTTGATTGTGTCACGCGCTGTGTGGCATATTGCGCCATCTTGTTGGAACCAGAACTTTTCCACACTAACGCCATTCAACTGGGGAACAAGAAAGTCAGTAATCAAGAATCGATACCGCTCTCCATTGACTGTCGCTTTCTGGCTGACATAATTTTTAAAGAAATATGGGCCAATGATTCCACTAACCCAACAAGCACACCAAGCAAGGAGTTTTTCTGGATTATCAATCAGAGTATGCGTAGTGCAAAAACGATTGGTTGTCCGAATAACCTGCTGGGATGGACGATTATGTCGACCGTAAAATGGACGTAACGTACATAGCGGAAGTTTCGCGAAATTAATCACGATTTTCGAAGTAAATTTGTACAATTTGCAAGCGTTGCTCTGGCGTAAGTCTTTTCATAATGAAATGGCAAGATATAATGAGCGGAAATGAGCTGTCACCTGTCAAATTTACTGTCACTAGGAACAGTGTTACTAGGTAGAAAAACAAACCTCTAAAAAAAACACCCTTTATTATCTTATAATTCCTAACATAATTATATCACAGACAGTTTCGAATATCTAATCGGTGATTTGCGTCAACATGGCGGTCCCTTTTAAAATCCAAAAGTTCTGTGTCTGAATTGTGGGCAAAAGTACCGCGATCACAAAATTGGTACTGTGACCGGTCGTAGAAAGTACCCCAGCCCTAATTGAAGTTTTGTAGAGGGGGCATACGTATCGCGGATCGTCGTCGGGCATGTCTGTTTTTGGTAACATATGGATTACTGGAAAGCTTGGATTGATTTCACCTAAGAATAAACATTTATTGAACATAGACTTACAACAAATAAAATTGCAGGATTTTACCCGGTTTTGGGTCAATTAATCTCATATTTTTCATATCCCAACGGCCAGCATCCAAGAAGAGGCCATGCACCAACACTCCATCTTCAGGGGATTGCAGAGGATGGTACACGTCGTAAACCTACAGAAAATATTGTGTTGTTGAGGATTGAATAAATAAGAATGTTCTTCCGTAATATCGGTTGCAATGGCATGTATTATTCAGAGTTGGGTTGTAGAGGGCGCTTCTGGAGCTCTTTAAATTGTGGCGCACGAATAGGGCATTCCAACAACAGAAAATCACTCAGGGCACACAATGGCAGCAAATATCCAGTTAAGTTCCCTGAAATTTTGTAGAGGGCGCGAGTGAACTTGGAGTGCTTTGAATTTTGGCGGTAAATGTCAATAGTTTCAAACCGTTTTAATGAGTAGGAGGAAAGATGACTACCTAGGAACAATGAACAGTGAATAAGTTAAAATAATGTCTTCCAAAACGTTCAGTGGCCCCTAAAGATTATTTTCAAAGGTGTCAGCGTCAGCTTGTCTTGAAACCACACTTCAAACTTGACTTTTGAGGTTAAAATTAAATTCGATTATTCACGCGCCAAAATTTGAAGAGCTCCAAGTATAGAAGCGCCCCCTTCTACTCAACTGTCAATATTACATGCCATTCAATTGTGTCATACAAGTGCCACATAATCGAACATGCGACATTTTATTATACCGGGTGCCCACGAGACTACTTTCCGGCTGCCATTTTTTTATTTGTCTATCAATATCAACGAAACTTGGTAGGGTTGATATTCTAACGAAACGCCATTTTTATGCATTTATGACAAGTTTTCCTGACTTCCGGTTTCACCGGAAATGACCGGAACTTTTGATTTTTAAATGGCGCACCCTGTATATTTTTTGTTTTTCGGATTCTACAGATCGTTTTACGTCTTAATGCACCACTTTTGAATCGAATTTTGTCCAAATTTTGTTTTTAAATTAAACTTTAATTTTTTAACTAGAGTGCCATGATCATCCTAAAATGACTCTACATACTTCACTTACGGGTCAATTCTGTGCTTATCTGTAAAAAAAATCTATAAATTTCTGTAAGCATATAGACACTGCAAAACGCATCGATTGCCAAACACCCAATCGGAAATATTTACGATCTTATAAGATATTCTGCAATCTATACGAAGAGCAGGATTGCAAATTGTCTATAGGCAGCTATAGGCTTATGGAAATTTATAGAATTGCTAATATAACAGATGTGCACAGAATCGACCCATTAATTTCAGAAAAATACAAACTCAATTTTATCTTTGTAAACTTTTTTGATAGACCGCTGTAATTGTATATTGTTTTATTAGGTGTAAAAGTGAAACTTTTTGTGGCGAGACAAAATGTTTGACGGCCGAACGTAGTGAGGCTGACAATTTTAGACGAGCCACAAAAAGTTCTTTTCTCCGAATAAAACATGCGATTTTTTCCGCAAACAGTGTTCAAAGCGATGGAATCTAGGAAATTTCTGTGACGTCACTTTTTTGTCCGGCCGTGAGCGTACAAAAATAGTTATTTGTTTTACTAGGCAGAAAAGTACAAGATTTAATGCCGCGGCTGGTGTTTCATAGCCGAGGCATAGCCGAGGCTAGGAAACCAGCCGAGGCATTAAATCTGCTTTTCTGCCATGTAAAACATATAATTTTTTCTCCGAATGTTCAAATTCACACATGGACATCTTTTTTATATTTATTTCATTCATTATTATTATCCAAATAATTAAATTATTTTGACAATTGTCATTGTCACCATGAATTTCAAATACCAAATTGAGTGGAATTATTACCTGGAACGTTGTGACACTGTCACTTTTAATGCCTAGACAGTAAAAGTCCACTTTTACTGCCTAGGCAGTAAAAATACAACTTTTGATCCTGCCAAGTGTCATTAAAAGGCCGCTTTTACTGTCATTCGGAGAAAAAGTACTTTTTTGTACGCTCACGGAACGCGCGGACAAAAAAGTAACCAAAAAAATGACGTCTGTGAAGTAAAACTTCAACATTAAAGGAGCATTTACATTCACTTCTAACTTTAAGTTAAAATTGACGTTTGATATTTTATCATTTACATTGCAGAACAAAATTGTCAAAATTCACTCAGGTTGATCGAGGTTTGTTTATTATTTGCGTTTTCTGTAGGTCTGAAAGTTTTTGAATTTTTGAATATGTACATGGAGAATCAGAAAAAAATTGTGGTTCTGGGAACGTTTGCGGTTGTTTTGGGTGTTTTGCACCTAAAAAATAAGAAAAAAAGACCCCCCTGCAGAGAAAGATCAATATGGGTTAAGAATATTTTCCTACAAAGGAAAGAACAAGGTTTTTTTGATAACTTAATTCGGGAATTACAAATAAGTAGCCCAGAACTATTTTTCAATTTCACTCGTATGAGTTCTACATGTTTTGAAAGTCTTCTTTCATTATGTGGGCCATTTTTATGCAAAAATTCACCGAGAGAAAAATTATTCTCAGATTCCTGAGTATCCTGAGCAATGTCTTCTGTGTCTTCTTCAACAATATAATAATTTTCAATATTTTCCTGGATATTTCCGTAATTTTCACTTTCACTACCGACAGCCTGGCTTCCATCGTCTAACCAAATATTCATGATTGCTTTTTTTTTGCTTGTTCCGTTTATTTGGATATTGGAAATTGAGAAAAACCGTCAAGTCAAAACGTCAGAATTTTATGAGAATTTAAAAATTTGACATTCCACACCGCACATTTCTTATGGAAAAGTGATCTATGTGGAATTTTGCTGAATTTTTGATATTGTGTATAGGGAGTCGTCCTTAACAAAATTGATTGCGCTAATGTTCAATACCCAACAGTTTTCAAGATATCAATTAAAAACTTTTTTAATTTGATACTCTTCAGTATGACGTCACCAGTATGCTCACAGCACCGAAAATTAAAACTATCCTTTTCACTTTTGACTTTGACTACCTATCCTCTTCTCCTTTTATTATTTAGGAAATAGAAAGAAACAACAACAGGTACAAATGAAATCGCTATATGACAGACTTCATGACATGAAGTTGACGATTGCGGCAGGAGCTAGGTATTGTTTACATACCTACCTATTTGTCACTAATCGCTATCGCTATCTTTTTTTTTTCTTAATTTTAAAAGGAGAAGAGTAAAGTCAAAGTCAAAAGTGGAAAGGATAGTAATAATTTTCGTTGCTGTGAGTGACGTCATACTGAAGAGTATTAATTAAAAAAAAATTAAATGAAAGCTTGAAAACTGTTGGGTATTGAACATTAGCGCAATGATCACTTTTGTTAAGGACGACTCCCTATACACAATATCGAAAATTCAGGAAAATTCCACATAGATCACTTTTCCATAAGAAATGTGCGGGGTCCTTTCTCCTTGCCTTCGGCAAGCAGCTCGCCCAAATTTGAAGTGCACTTCGAAGTGAACTTCAAATTTATTTCAATGTAAATGGATCTGTGCTGTCGCCATATGGCAAGCACGTCAATTTCAAGACAAATTGGACTTTGAAGTGTAAATGCACCTTTGAATCTAAAACTACAGGAAGGAGCGTTTTCTATCTGTCACTACAGACAACGCAGGGACGGAAACGGCCATTTTGAGCCTCCAAGTATGGACTCATCATTTGTTTTGGTGGTTCGCTGTGTCCTCATTCAAGTGGATGTTTAATGGATTTTAGCGGTTTTAAGTGATGATAAGTACTGAAATTAGTGAGAAAAGAATGAGTCATAATATTGACAATCATATTTAAATAAATATACGCCACTGCCAAACCGGAAATACTAGTCGGCCATATGCAACCTCCACATATTTTGGTCGCGCAGATTCGAAGTTATGCTCCTTCCTGTAGTTTTATATTCAAGGAAATGCACCATAACAATGACAGTAATATGTCAAATTCCAGACAGTTTTAAGAGTGTTCCACATAATTTCGTTAGTGTCGCAGTAATAAAATTCTCTGCCCTATCTGGCCAATCAAATTTGACACATTTGTCAATATATATTTTTTGATAGTGCAATACATAAACGGTACCTTACTATTCTGCATACCTGCAAAATCCATTGACATTTTTCAAAATTCAGCATTGTCAAATTTATTTCATATTTAAGATGCCCAAAATAATTTCTCAAGAGAAAATAAGGGAAATAGGGAATAATAAAATGTTACGGCTATGTCGATAAAAGCAAACCAGAGGTTCTTCAGGGAATAATAATGGAAGTCCAACTACCAGATATATTTGGGGTAGGTATAATTTAAATATAGATGCAAAGCCATTTCTTACAACCAGCAACCAATATTTTTGTTGGACCAAACTTGAAAAAAAAGTTACTGTGAAATAGTATATTGTGTATTTAGGTGGAAAAGTGACACATTCTCGTTTGAATGCAAAAAAACTTAATAAAAGCCCGAGACCGCGAAAGCGGTCGAGAGATTTTATTTAAAAGTTATTGTGCATGAAACTATTTGCCAAAAAGCAAAATAATGCAAAAAATATTTGGATAGTTTAATCCATTTAAATTTATAGGTCGAGTGGCATACGGCTAGATTATTTCCTGAATAATTAGGATTGAATTGTTGGCGTCAATCCTATCCAAAGAGTTCTATTTATTATAAAATGTCAGAATATTTCTATCAAACTTCTTTCAAAAAAGGTAAACAAAAATTTAATCGCTGATAAACAAGGTCTTATGAAATAATCACTTATTTAAACAAAATTCATTCAAAAAATTACGTTGTCGGATGGGTCTATTTTACAATGAATGAAATAATCATATATTATATCACAAGACCTTCAAATTTAATCGATTAAACTATGCAACATATTTTGAGCATGATTTTGCTTGGAAAATAGTTGAATGCACAATAACTTAATAAAAGCTCGAGACCGCGAAGCGGTCGAGGGCTTTTATTTCAAAGTTATTGTGCATGAAACTATTTGCCAAAAAGCAAAGTTGTGCGAAAAATATTTGGATAGTTTAATCCATTTAAATTTATAGGTCGAGTGGTATACGGCTAGATTATTTCCTGAATAATTATTAGGATTGAAGCCACAAACAAAAAGTTCTATTTTTTATCATAAAATGTCAGAAT